GTACAATATAATAGTATAATATAATAGTATAATATAATAGTATAATAGAAGTCTTAGATGCTTTGAGTTCAGCTCATGAAAACTGGGACCAAAACCTACAAAGTGTTAGTTTGTATTTGTGTTCTGTATATTTACAGTTCAGTACCATCACCTACCAGGAGCTCTGGTGGGCCGTCCTCAGCATCTTCTGCAGACTGCTCCTCACCAATTTTACTAAAACAAACAAACAAAAACATCAGATCTTTGCACATTTCTACTTATGGGGTTGTAATATCACTCGATTAGCTCAGACATATTTTGGCCAAACAGCATTATGGGGTTGTCTTTGTGTACAAATCTGTAAACCGTATGAAAGAAGGTGAGCTTGTAGTTGGCCGTGTTGCTTCATGTGAAAATGTTTGGTGTAGTGGACACACTTACCTGAGATCCCAGACATTGAGACGTCGATCAGTGCCGCTGGAGGCCAGGATAGTCTCATTGTGAGGAGACCACTGTACCTAAAGAACAGGAGAGGACAACCTGCATCATTAAAGGGGAGTAAAATGATTAATTGGATTTTGCAACAATTCTACATTAGCTGTGTTTAATCTGCAAGGTCCCTCTTAAAGACAAAGTCTTTACAGGGTCCTCCTGGACCACTTTGGGACTAGGATTTGAAGTACCTCGGAAAGATTTCATTTAAAGCAGCAGGAGGGGGATTGAGAAAACATTTCTGTCTAGTTGAGTGAGTTTTTTTTAATCCCTTGACAAACAGAGTCACTGGGATTTATAGTGGGTACTTTTAATTTCTCTACAAGCTGATCTATTAAGCAATTGTATTTATTTTTTATTATTCTTTTAGTTCTATGACAGAGTATCACTGTTGCTGTTTTTGTTCAGTGAACTGGCTCTTGCATCATTCATTCAACCGTTCGTGTCAACATTAAAGATTTTAGTTGAACATCAGCAGCTCTTCGGTGTGTGTGTGTGTGGGGGGGGGGTACCGCAGGGGTCCATCTTCGGTCCTCTTTCCTTTTCTTTATACCTGCTGCCACTAGGTGCTATTTTCCGTTTTTTGTTTTGTTTTGTTCTTTTCAGTTGAGGCGACTGTCTAAACTGAAACCCATACTGTCCAAAAATAACCTTGAGACTGTAATATAAGCGTTCGTAACATCCAGACTCGATTACTGCAATGTGCTTCTGTTTGTAATCAGTCAGACCTCCACTGCACGATTACAACTGGTCCAAAACGCTGTAGCCCGATTTTTAACCAGTACGGACAAGAGAGAGCACATTGCACCAGTTTTGGCTTCCCTTCACTGGCTCCTGGTTCACTTTCAAATTCAGCTCAAAATTTTTCTGTGTTTTCAAATCTCTGAATAGTTCCAACCACTCTTATCTCGCTGATCTGCTGCAGCCATATGTCCCACAGCGCTCTCTGAGGTCAGCAGACCAGATGCTTCTATTGGTTCCAGGAACCTGTCTTAAGCTCAGAGGTGACAGGGCTTTCTCTGTTGCAGGTCCAAGACTGTGGAATGAATTACCACTTCATGTCAGGCAGGCCCCCTCCCTCACAATTTTTAAGTCTCGCTTAAAAACCCACTTCTATTCCCTGGCTATGACACTATGATTTTGTTTTTAACCTGTCTGTATTCAACAATGTTAGCCATTTAGTTATTATCTTTACAGGTTTGTCTCATTGAGTCATGAGGACTCATTTACGAGACCTGTTTTAAACATAGAACACAGACGAGGTACAGACAACAATAAATAGCCATAAAATGCATATAAAATGAAAAGTAAATAAAAGTAGTGATATAAAACAAAATAAAATCAAGCTACATTATGAAATGAGGTAAAATACTAAAAACAGGAACATGTCTGCATCACAGACTAGCATTTATACATAGATGTGGTGAAATAAATGAACATTTATCAAAGTCATTTAGGTTCTTACTTGGAAAATTTCATCTTTGTGGGACTCGAAAGAGTGGAGTTTCAGTTTGAGATTCCTCAGATCCCACAGTGCAACAGTCTGAGAAAAACAAACACGATTTTGTGCTTTGATAAATCGGCAACGTCGACAGTGTAGAACTTAAAATGTATTCATACGCATCATATTTTAGGGTATTTATTTTTTTACCTTATCAGCAGAGCCAGTAGCAAGAATGAACTCGCTGTAGGGGTTGAAACTGAGACAGTTGACCTCAGCAGTGTGAGCATCGACTGAGTGGCTGGCTTTAGACGTGTTGTTAGACCGTGTATCCCATCTGATGGAAGGTAGAGAAGGATTAGAGTCAGCAGGGACATTTATTTGTAAAAATGAAAGACATTGATAATAATAATAATAATGTCATCACAATGTCAGCACTGTATGTTTCCATACAATGGCGAAATTAGTCTCTGCATTTAACCCATCCACCACCAGGTGGTGCAGTGGGCAGCTATTGAAAGCGCCCGGGGGACATTTTTGGGGATTAGACGTGCTGCCCAGAGACGCCACGTGATGTGCAGTGACTGGGGATCGAACCTGGGACTCTCGGGTCCCAAGCCGGCTGCCCTGCCTCTACACCATCTCGGCCCCTGAGCAGTTTTAAACTGATAGTCCATGTTTTCTAAATCCATGTTTTCTAAATCAGTCACTTACATCATTAGTTTCTGGTCATCGGCAACAGAGCCAAACAGGGATTCATGGAGCAGGTGCCAGGAAACATCTTCCACCACTGCTGTATGACCCGTGAAGATGGTCTTGGCATCTACTATCTTCCCTTCTTTAGGGCCAGCTCCAATGTCCCACAGACAGATTGTCTAAAGGAGGAGGAAGAAATTTAATGTTCATTCCTTCACTGTGCTGATCAGGAGGAAGCTGACAGTAGCTATGTTTACATGCGCAAAATTCTTGGATCGGATTTAAATGTATTTGGATTAAATAATACGAATGTATCGTTTACATGGACACAATCTGTTGATGAGCTGATGTCGACAAGATGACGAGCGTTTACATGTAGCGGGCTTTTATTCTGAATACAAGTACTGACATGCACAGAGTGGTAAACTCTCTTTAACAAAACCCCCCGAAGTTCTACTTCCGGTTTACTTCCATGATGAACGTAAACAAACCTGAGCGCCCAAACTGGACCCGCGACAGGTTTTAATGACGGTGGAGACGTCACTGCACTCCCTGACTGAGCTGCAGGTGATACAGATTATTTTGAGCTCTTTCAAAGTTTCTAGTAGAAATGTTGTGTCGCTCACCGACCAATTTTGCTTCCTCGACATGCTAATATTATTAGCATCTGGCCAGGCGGAAATGCGTGAGGTAGACATAGATCATACATGCACAGTCAGGTCAGCTTTCCACAATCGGCATAAAATTATCAGATTAAGTGTTTACATGCACACCGTTCGGATTATGAATCAGAATAATTTTTTCGCCTCCAATTCCTACGTGTCCAGTTTATCACTTTTATTGTATGTCCAAACAGGTCTCACTTGTAAATGAGTCTTTGAGGCTCAATGTGACTTATTTGTTTAAATAAAGGTTGAATGAATAAACCACCTGTCTCATTCTGATCACAAATTATTTCGGATCGAGATGAATCAACAAAGAATAATCCGAATGGGGCGTTTACGTGACATTTTTATTCCGAATGGCCGTTTAATCCAATTACTTATGTCCATGTAAACATAGCTAATGAGCTCATCCAACACATTTCTACTTGCTGTGATAATAAATAAATAACTTACATTGTACTTTTTAATTGAGCATATATTTACAACACACAATATAATGACTGCACCAGGGGTGATGCAAAACTGCATACCTTGACCAAAAAAAGACATGACTTGTGTAACTAAACGCACAGATAACAAAAACAGCCAACTTTAAACAGTGGTTGACCCATTACTAAGTTCTGCTAAGCTCACTGATTGAACATTTTCATATTTTCTTTTGAAGGACTCAGATCAGGAAGAAGCTGATGAGATCAAGCGCATTCTCACATCAGAGTCTCACTTTGCTCACTGAGCTGCATGCAGGTCCTGAAGAGCGTTTATAGTTCAGGAATATTACAAAAACGCTGGTTTGTTTATAAAATTCACTTAGTGTGAACAAAACTTTGACCCATCCCTTCTGGAAAGCTGCGCTGACAAATAAAAGGCCTGTTGTTAGAGCCAGTCACCTACATGGTCATCAGAGGCGCTGAGCAGGTTGCCATGGAGGTTTGGGTTCCAGGAAAGGCCATACCCTTCTTTCTGATGGCCTTTTAGCCTCAAGTCAGGATTACACTCCCCACTGGGATCTGAAATGCACAAATTGCACTGAATTTATTCATTTATTCAGTCGTTTGAATCGCTACAATAAATGTACTCTACATGACCCCACCTGGCTTTGACGGGTGCTTAGTGTAGTCGAATACCAGAACGTCAGATGTGGGGGTCTTTGTGGCTATTATGCAGGGATTCTGGGGCATGTAGCGAGCTCGGTTCACTTCTCCTTCATGGTTGATTTTGATCTCAATCTCTATTTTTCCACTCACTGATCCAAATCCACCAAATTCTGACGAGAGAGAGAAAGTCAGTGTGGATAGTGAACAGCGTACAGTTGCATTAAACCATTTATTAAGATGTGTTACTTTTATTTAAATAAAAGTGGAACCTTGGCTCCAGACAACATCACCTCATTTAGAACTGGAGATATTTGCTACTTTTTCTACTGAATTTGTCCATGCTAAAATACTCATCCTACTTGTTGCATGAAACCATGGAGGCAGAACACCCACACACAGCAGTGCACCTGAACAACATACCTGCTGGAAGAAACAAAGAAAGTTTCAGTTTAAAAACTGTCCAGGACTTAAATGAGCAGCTTCAATCACAAACGAGGAGTTATGGCTGAATATGAAACAGTGGCAAGTACAATGCCTACTTTATACACGTCTGCTTATTATAAAATGGTTTTTTTTTTAGCCCAAAGTAACAGATAACATCTTTTCACAACTGTCCCATATTTATGGCTTGAATAAATAAGACTTCCTGCTGTCATAATTAACCTACAAACGTGGCTCAGAAACAGACCTAGTGAGTAATTTCAGTCACTTTCAAGATTTCAGAGTCAAATAAATAAATAAATAGAATTATAGTGTAATAAAACTGCAGGAGGACTCTGTACTAACCTCCTTTTTCACTATCGTAGTGCGACGCATCAAACTGGGCGTCATCGTTTGGTATCTGGACGCTGGCAATCACAAGGTGGTTCTGCTCATCTGATGTGTGGGTCCCCAGAACCAGCCGGTGGACAGTGTAGTCTTTTCCCTCTGGCCTGCACACAACATTAAATAGTTACTGGAAAAAATTCTTTCTCCGCAGAATAATGTCTGAACAGGGTTTTAATAACATCTGAAAGCAATTCTCAATCCAAAAACATTACAGGAAAAACAAGAGACCAAAATAAAACAATTACTAACAACTTATTAAAACGAATGCCTTGAACCTTGTAGGTCAACGTTCATGTTACTAAATAATGTTTAAGGTTTGAAACAACATGCTCCTACACTGTGTTGAGATGTTTAAGTTAGAAAATATATGGACTCAGAAGAAACTGTGCTCAAAAAGACAAAGATCAGAACTAATTATAAAATATACAGAATGTTTGACTTAAAGGAATTATTATTATTATCATCTTGGGAATTATTTTGATAATTAATTGAAAACATCTAAATCTTTGCATAGATTTAATTTTTTAAGGTGAGACATACATTTTGTGCTATAGGGTTTTGTTTATTAGAATATCTGAATAAATCATAGCAGTGTAACGTAGTGTGTAACTATTTATTTGTTTAAAAAAAAAAACAACATACTGGTAATTTTAAGCCACTCCTAGTTGGGGAAAAGAGATGGCGGGTGAGCAAGCCATTACATGGACAAGTCACATGGGTGTATGTCCTCCATAGGCTTACGGTTGAGGTCATTCCATGACCTTAATGAGCCTTTTTGTAGCTACTCCTTTATTAATGGCATGTTTTGTGCTGTTGTTATTTTAGAAGACCCCTCTTCCATTTTCTATCTGAGGGACAAGGTTCCTGTCAAAGATTTTACAATATATTGCCCCGTTATTGGCCCCTCAATTCAGTGACGTCATTTTGTACCCTCTGCAGAAAAAACAGCCCAAAGTATAATATTTTCACCTCTGTGCTTGAAAGTGGGATGGTGCTCTTTGAGTCATACTCAGCATCAAGTCAAGGTTCTTTATTGTCATTCTCATCACACGTGGAGGTACATGTGGCACAATGAAATTGTGTACACAGGGTCCCAGTTACATCCAACAAAAGTACAAGTTGTAAAAGAAAAACAGTAATAAGATCTAAGATATGAACTAAGAAATATGCTAAACTAAGAATACACTAAGCACTAGTAGTAAGAAAACGATACGCCAAACGCCGGCATTGCATTACAGCATTGCTCTTCCTCTAACCTCAGTGGGTAGAGCTAATGCCACAGAGCTGGATTTTGGTCTTCTCTAGCAGCTGTGCTTTATCCTCAATTTCCTCTGAACTTTTTAGATGTTTGTTGACAAACTTGGATGATGCGGTCCCAACTGCCTTCAGATCGTTAACAAGTTCCTCATGTGTTGCTGCGGGTTGAGCGCTCAAAGATGATCCAAGTAAGATCTTGCATAGAGCTCAAGATTAAGGGTGATTCATGATTTTATTTTTTTCCATTTCCTGATAATCACTCCAATGGTTATCACCTTCACACCAGGCTTCTTGCTGATTGTGTTGTAGCCCGTTATTCTCCCAACTGTGTTTTTATCATTTATATTTCATGTAAATTGTGGCTTTGTCAAAAGGAAACATGCATAAAATGCCAGGCAGACTGAAGAAGTCCTTTGGATAGAAGACGAAACGTTTCAACAAGTAGAATCCATCCAGAGGACCTGACTTGTTAGATAATCGCCAGGCTTTTTTATTATAATTATTTTATTTTACACAGCAGAACCCTGAACTGCTGCAGTCACATGAACAGATAGAGCAACGCTTCAGAATAAACCATATGTTTGTTACTGGAAAAAAGGTTAAATGGGTAGACTGGTGGAAACACTAAAATACCTGTTGACATCTGGAAGCCACTGGGCAGTGAGGCTGGGCCACTCCAGCGCGTGCGTCATCACCAGGTCATACAGGAACGGGGTGTTTTTCTTCCAGATCTTGTACTCTTCATTGATGACCCTTTCTTCCACCGCATCGTCGTAAACTTTAACTGCAACACGATGGAAGGATTAGGACCACTGCTGTTTGTCTGCCTCCACTTTTACTTGGAGCCCTTTTTTAATCGAGAGCAAACTGTTATGTTTACAAAGGTGATACAAGCACTAATGCCTGGACTGGACAAGTCCGACAAGACAGCCCACATTCACAGCACCACAGCTGCCTCTTTTAATATGACTTCTTCGATAGATTTAATTAGTTCAAGATGACACAGAGAAGCGGATGCTGAATGCTAAATGTACCGAACCAAAAGGACCATGCTGCCCAGGCTGGCAAATCCAGTAAGCTCTACTAGCTTATTATGCTAACCGAAAACACTGGGAGTTGTTTAAATTATTAAGCTGTTTTAAAAGACCTACCCTCCTTATCAGCCATATCGCAAACTTTGCGCCGTGTTTTCAAACAAGACGAGTCACTAAATTCATACGTTCCTTGTGTCTTTCCCTTAAAATATTCTCGTGTCTCTGATAAAGTTTGCTTCCTCCTCAGCGCCCGAATTTGTTGCTGCGCACTGCGCACGCGTCGATTTCTTCGCGCGTGTTCAAGGAGAACCACCACTGCGCAAAGACTGCGCAGGAAAAAAAAAGACTGCGCAGGAAAAAAAAAGACTGCGCAGGAAAAAAAAAGACTGCGCAGAAAGAAAAAAAAGAAAGACTGCGCAGGGGAAAAAAAAGACTGCGCACGACAAAAAAAAAAAGACTGTGCAGGGAAG